TGAAAGGAAAGAAGATACCACAAAAAGGCATGTTGAACACAAGTCAGCACGAAAAGCAGTAGTCACGTCACAACAGCTACCTAACAATTTTCAAAAGATTTTTGTACACTTCATACAGTGTTGCCAACTCTTACCATTTTTTCACACGCCTTGTGGCTTTCTAAAATTCCTAGCTCCTGGACATGATTTATTACACAAAAATGCCCAAAATTTAATTTTTAAGTAAGCTTCTAACTAAAACAGCAGCAAAGGCCTACAGTTCAGCAGCAGGAGGCAAATCAAAAGAACCCCAAATGCATTACTTTTTTAAATTTCATGGATGTTTCAAACTAACTTAATGATTTTTACAACACTAATTTACAACTTCTGAATGCTTGGAGCTGACTAACAGTTGGAGCAGAGGAGAATTTTAAAAAGAAACTTTCAGGAGGACAGTGAGATACCTATGCAGACGTTTAGTCTGAAAGTATCTTCCTGGAGAAGAGATTGCTTAAATTAGCTGTTTAATTTGTGATTTAAAAAATCTAACTTGAACTGGTGATTGAAAGCTAAAGCTAGACAAGTTCAAACCAGAAATAAGGCAGAACTTTTAATAATAGGGGCAGCTAACTTTTGGAGCAATATATCTAGGGATGCAGTGAATCCTCTATCTCTTGAAGTCTTTAAAACAAGATTTGCTGTTGATACAAGTTGTATCTGTATATCTAAGTGTAATCCTGTTCCACCAGGCTCAGGTCCCTGAATAACTGGTAATGTAAAAGTGTGTTAGTTGTCTTCCTTTTCTTTATTTTTGTGACATAGTCTCAAGGCCAGATCATTAGCAGTTTGTCAGAGATTAAGTATGTATAATGGCATATTGATGAGCATAAAAATTAATCACTTTTTACTCACAAAAGAGATGTGGTCTCTAAACAGTCTGTTACATTACTTGACTATACAGTACATTTAATGATCAGTTTCCTGTATTTTTCTCAGGACCACTGCATGATTAAACAGTGGCAAGCAAAGGATTTTGAAAAAGTGGATGTGTTGTTTCTTTTTACCTCCTTATCTATAAAGATATGGCAGATTTTATTTATGGGTTACAAGACAGACTTTTTCGTAGCTATTCTTTATTTTCAGTTTAGGGCTAAGTCTGGTCCTCTTTTCTGTGTTGGAGGCACTTGGAAAAGTAAAAAGATAGGATCTTACATATTAAAGGCTTATTATTGAAGTGTATGTCCTTTGACACAAACTTCATTCAAAGAAAGTTTATTTGTCATTGAAGTTAAAAAGGTGTGAACAAAAACAAACAAAATATACAGCCTTCAAACATGGACTGAAAATACATTTTTAATGCATTTAATGCATAATATTGTCCTTCCCCAAATACACACATGAAAGTATTGTCAACACATGTTAGCAGCAACACATGGCTTACTGCTACATTGCTCCTAAGAGTAGTTGCTGTTATGGGGGGTATCATCTGAATATGTTATCTGGAAAACATTCCCTGAGAAATGTTACCAGTAATAATGTTTTGCTTAGTTGTTGCTGCAGACAAGTGTCTTCAGTAATTTTAATGCCTTTGCTTTGTATGTCGGTCAGTCTAAACACACTGTATCTGAATGCACTTTTGATTAAACAAAAACAATCAATGTGGGAATGCCTGCACAGTTGCTCAACTACTTAAGTGAATGGCTAAGTTATCCTCTGAATGTTTAAGCATAGGAATAATGGCAATAATGCATACATTTTGTCTAGTGTGCAGTGGTACAACGAATTGGATCATGCTAGGCTTCGTCTGCTACCTAATGCAATGTAACATAGCAGATAAAATAAATCAAATGCGTGACACACTATTAGACTTGAAAGATGATAGGTCTTCTAAAGCAATTGCTATGAGAATATTTCAGTGCTGTAGGCTTTAGGTGGTTATTGAAGTCTAAAATCTTTGAAACCCAAGCAACACATAATTTAAGGGCTAAGAAACAAGTGAGCAGAACTATAGCAGTTGCTTATTACTAGTGAAGCAATTTCCTGAAACAGAATTTAGGCAGATTTTGTTTTTCTTATAGCATTTGATATATTTTTCATTTTTTCTGAGTGCTTTCTGCATACATAGTCATGGACTTGATACCTCTGTGTTTATCATGGCATTGAAATTCACACTGGTTCAGTGGTAAAACTTCAATGGTACTTAACATAATTTTGTTTCATAAGTAGTTGTTTAATTTCATAGGCTGACCAAGTGATAAATGAGAAGTTACTAAAGTTGAATTTTCTCATTTATTATAATAAATTCCAAGAAGGGTTTTATCCTATTTCCACATGTTTATTTGTCCTCAATGACTGTTCACTAATCTTGAACATTTAAAATGTATGGTTCATAAAGTAGGCCTTAAATATGTAATTCTACTAACTGTCTTTCAGCATTGAGCAATGGTTTTCTAATAAATTGTATTCTATTTAAAATTCTGCAGAAGGCTTACCTATTCATTTTACTGAAAACTTAATTATCTTCTTTTTTTTTGTTTCTATTCTTCTTATTTTGTGCTAACTTATTGTTGATAAGTTTGTTTCTGTTTGGTAAATGTCTGTGACAGCATAATGAATTAATCATTAATAAAAAGGAAACAACAGTCCCATGATCTATAGTGCAGGCTTATGTGAGTTCTGCAGTTAAAAACAATCTCTTACGTACAAGAAGATACTGTATATTTTCCCCAAAAATGAATATAGATGTCATGAAAACATGAATATAGACTGTATTCTATGAAAATACCATAGAATTATTTTTTTTTGTGAATTTACAATGAAATTACATTTAAATTCCCTAAAAAATGAAGGCTTTAAGAAATTTGGAATGAAATTTCAATCCTATTTTTTGCATGTAATTTCAGTAACAACATAATAAATTGCAGTGGAGACACTTTCAGTTTTAAAGAGGTGCTGTTGTTTGTCCAGGAAAAAAATATTGAAAAAAAATAGTGTAATCTGTACAGAAGACTGCTGTGAACTTAAGCTACATGAGAACTGTTAAGGTAGATTTAAGGTTACTTGATATTACAGATATAAATTTCTATACCATAACGTTCAGATTTCTGGATTAAACTTGAACTTTGAGTTTCCCAAGTTTAAAATTCTTGGCTTTTAATTAATTGCAATAGCTCTGCATATAATATGACATACTGTAAACTATTGATGTGTGTTCACAACCTTGTCTTCACTTTAATTTGTGTATGAGAATAAAAATTGTTTCAAAAGGCATTAATATATGTAGTTGATATTTGAGGTGCTTCATGACAAAAATAATAGTAAAAAATGGAATAAAAACACACTTTTTTCTCTTTCCTAGCCCACTGTGTGTGAACGGGAACTCTGTGTATTTGCTTTTCAAACTCTAGGAGTGATGAATGAAGCTGCAGATGAAATTGCAACTGGGGCTCAGGTACAGCTATTTAATGTTAAAACTGCCTTTCATTATATACAGTGTTCAGTCACTCTTGTTAATTCACTTTTTGTAACTTTCCACTGATATCTGGTCTTTAATGTTTAAGCATTGTATGCAGTGAGTCATAGAGATGCACATACTTTATAGATGGTATTTCAAAAGGTGGTCTCCTTATTCTGCTTCTATTATAGGAAATGAAGCAGTACTAGGCCAATGCTAGATATGTTTAACAACCTCTGCCAATGCAGTTAGGCTGAACTCCTGATAAGTACAATTTGGAAACCTGGATTGCTGAAATGAATCAGACTGTCTCTTCCATTTGTCTTTTTGGAGACAATTTTTAGATGATAGTGTTCATTTTATAAATGTTATTTATTTCTTTTATCTAATAACTGTTAAATATACAATGCATAAACAGACCTGGGCACTGGGATCAAAACCTAGGTATTCCCCTCCCAGATGAGCACTCTCATTATAAGCTTACAGTCATTATATTTTTGTGTGCACTTACTCCCCCTCACCTATTGAAATATGCATTTCTTTCTATACAGTAGCATAGCTTCAACAGGAAGATCTATTTGGGGGAATACCTCCCCAAACCAGCTTTGCCTGTAGCTTTGGGGGGAGGCAGTTAGAGTAATCCCTACCCATTCAGGTTGAGGAAACTAAATACGTTCAATCTCCAAAATTATTTGGTGATTGACTGTAACGTGTATGGTATTATATAAGAATTTGCATGACCACCATCCCCTCTTCCAGCCATGGTTTTTAATGTTGGTGTAATTCGTGAAGAGCAATATCATGTGTGTTAGGTGTTCTTCCTGTCAAAACAGGCCCCCTCACACCCACACCTATGGCAGAATGCTGAGTTTTTTGTGCACCTAAATAGCAGTTTTCTGGCCATATAAGTGGTGGTCTTGGCACTGTGGACATGTAAGCATGAGTACATAGACTGAGCATGTTTAGTAGGCTACTCACTGGGTAGGCAGAAACATAGCTACATATTCACGACCATGCTGAAAGAAAAAGTGAATGTGCATTTGAAAATGACTCAGTCAAACTGAAAATGACTCTCAGTCAAACTTCTTTTTTGTTTTAACTCCATTAGCTATATATAATAGGGGCATGTACTGAGGAAACAAAAGACTCAGCTTCTAAGCTTCCTTTGCTGAAAGGGGATTTGAACCTGTATCTCTTTGTCGTCCTAGTACAGTTCTCTCTAGCACTCTTTTTCAAGGTGATACTCTGGCCACCCAAGAGGGAGATGTGTAAGTACAGGAACAAGCAAGAAAAGAACAAGCAAGAGGATGTGTGGCCCAGAGGCTTTGTGGTTTGTGGATCTCACTCTTGGAGTCAGGGGCCTAAATTTCTCTTAAGTCTCACTTCAGCCAGTGAGCTCCCTTTGTAGATCTGGACCGAGGTATCTCAAATTTAGATGTCCCCATGAAAAGGGTGCTGCAGATGGTGTGGCACATCACCATATGTAACACAACTCGTGTTTTCCTCCAGTTAAAGAAAACTAGGAACTTTGTCTACATGCTAGGGGGCTAGCACTATATTATTCAATTTAAAATCACAGAAAAAACAAGTACAACAATTGGAATATACACTAATGTACTAGCATGTGTGTGTGTGTGTGTGTGTAGCTAAAGCTTTTATATAGCTGCAATACCAACCGTGAGTCACTGATGAATGGATGCCATGATGATATAAAGTTTTTTTTTTTTTAAAAACAACAAACTAGGCAAAAATAGTCAATTATGCCATTAGTCTTGTAGTCATTATAGTTCAATGTACATCTCTTATTCAGATTCAGAACTCAAAATCTAGCCTTCTTGAGCATCTTGACAGTGCCCCCAATACTTCACTGCCAGTCATTTCTACACCTGAGTTAATATCACCACATGTGAGTTTCAGGGCTGTGTAACCAAAGACAGACTTTACCAGGAATGGCTAACAGACAGCAAAATTGTAGAAGAAAATATCGTTTGAATAGTGGAGAGAGAGTTGTTAATGTCTTTGGAGTGATTAGCAGGAATCTCAGCACTACCTAAATAATGATACCACTGCCCCTCTGAGGCAGTTGGTTTTAACGCTTAGGTGGTCCAAGAATCAAAGGTGAGCGTAGCTGCACCACTGCACCCCCTGAAAGGGTGCAGACAGAAGTGACATTTTTTGCCCAATCTGGCCACAGAAAGTGGTCTATATAGCTATGACCAAACACAAGTACATGGTTGCAGACTGTTTCAAAAATGTCTGGTTGGGCAAAAATCTGAACCCTCCTTGCATGAGGGGCTAGATGAAGACAATTCAAAACAGCATCGTCGGTATCTTCTGTTGGCACTGCTTTCCAGCTTGTCACTGTTTTCAGAATGAGAGTGGGGAAAGGGAGTGAAAGGAGCTTGGTCTGGGGGGGTTTCAGCCCCTGCTGGAGGGTGGGGCAGGTGTATTTGAGGCCCCCGCCACCCTCCAAAGCTGCCTGGGGAACCCCTAGAATGAGTTCCCTCTGCTCCCATTCTGAAATAGAGACAGACTGGGAGAGGAGGGGCCAGCTCAGCTGAATTTAGAGTAGACTTCAAGGTTCAGTAAGTTACATCAGTTGCCATCAGTCCCACAGGGCATTAATGGAGTATATGTAAGATCAGTCTATGCCCTTCTCTCCATGTGATGCCAATAGACCAGCAACAGTGTGAAGAGAGGAAGAACTAAATTCCCTCACCAGTAGTGTGAATTAAAACAGTACAACACAGAAGAATTTAAGCTACTGTGTTTCAGAGTTTGGATTTTCCAAATATCCCCTTTTTTAAATGTTATGTTGAATAATCTCTTATGAACTTCAACTTAATGAAGAAAGTAGAGAGAAGCAGGGCTTCCAAGTACCAGGACAGTAGTCCAAGTACTCCAGTACTCAACCTTTTCCTTGGCACTCTGGGGGGAAGGGGGCATGATGCGGGGGGAATGGGGAGTTAAACACATTATTCTCCTGGGCTCCTTTGCATATCCCATCCCAGATGCTTAATTTTGAAACATTCTCTTTGTCTGTAAGGGTTGTACACTAAAAATAAAATAGAATATCCTGAAATTTAATGTGATTTTCAACTTTCCATTAAGATACTTAAGGGAGGGAATTACTTAAGCAATTTTATTGTTCAATATGTATGAGATATCTAGTAATTTCAAGTACCAGAATACTTTTACTTTTAATCAGAAAAAAAGAGTTCCATTCATGCTAAGGGAGCACAGGAGGAGAATGGAAAACAGTATGACTCACTGCAGAATAATTCCCTCTCCCTTTCCTTATGATTCTCATTTTCATGCTGATTCCCTAAAGGACCCTCATTTTTATTTCCTTCAAGTGATCAGATCTGGTAACTTTTAGAACAGTTTGCACTATGAATCAGAATCTAGTTTATCTGGAACAGTGAGAGGAATCAGAGATACCTATAAAACAAAACTTACCTTAGCCCTTGAAATCTTGCACTGAATAGACCATTTTTATAGAAGAAACATTGTCAGGAAGGCCAGAAGAGCCCCTATCAAAAGCATTAACCATTATGCACATGTTGTTAAATATATATGGTTTCACAGTTTTGGATTACTCTACTAGCAATACCAGTTCCTACCTGCTAACAAATTGTTGTCTTCCTATTTGGTAATTCCATTTTTTCCAGGCTCATTTTTACTTATGCATGTGCTGATTTAACTTTAAGCTTTATTTAACCCCTCCCCCAAACGCATACAATATCATCACACAGTACAGACATGCCAGGTTATGCTAATTCTCTGCAAAACAAGGAAGAACTCCTCAATCTGGGCTTGAAGTAGCTGTTAAATCCACTATTGCAGCTCTAGAGGATTCAGTATTCACTAGGATATCTGCAACTCCATTCTTCAGGACAATGGGCAGTTGTGTTTTTCATATGAACTAATCCCAGTCTTACTCTACTCCCATTATTTATTAGAATCTCCAACACAGGCCAGAGATTGCATACCTGCTCCCAATTCTGTTACGCCCAGAGATCACCTCACACGTCTAAGACAAAGCCAGATTTGCCTTATATTATAAATTAATATACTCTACCTTGCAATAAATTTTGGGGCAAATCTTGGTCCCACTTTATTCATTGGAAGTCTTTTACAGGAGTTGTCTGTTGTGGCCTGATACAGAACCTGTTAAAGCTGATGGATAGACTTCAGTTGGATATGAACCAGGCTGTTACAGTTTTACTTATGGCTGTGTTCTCTACTTCAGTAACATGTCGTTTTTTAAATAAAACACTGTGTCCTGCTTGTGTATGATATAAGTCCATGGTATACAACAGATGGGTTTCTGTGAACAGACAAAGTGGTTGGTCGATATTCTAGACAAACCACTTATTCCTTCATAGTATTGCATCATTTATCAAGTAAACCCAGGTGTCATCTCAGGCAAAAGTGCTGCAATGTACAGTGCTTACTTGATCTTTCAATTTTACTTCCTCAGAAACAGTGTAGGATAAATTTTGCTCTTTAGAAGATCCTCATACACTTAGTAAAATGTGTATTTTTTTTTAAATAAATTAAGTCTCAAGAGATGTGGACAGGAAGTTCCATACAGTTTATTTAGCATGGCTAAAAACATTTTACTTCTGAGGAAAATAAATCTTATTATTTGAAATTGAAATTCTTACCTTAGTTTGCAATTGTAACTACTACATGCCTTATAAAAATTAGATGTTATTGTATATGCCCAGTCACAATGGATAGGTTTACAAATCAGTTAGTAAATAACGCCAGTTAATCTGAGGCACACTGCTATGCAAAGATTTTCAAAACTGGGTTATGTGGAATTTCAAAAGATGCCGTCGGAAAAGAATATCAGCTCACTCACAGGACACAGTTATCACAACATTCAGGTTTACAACTGGTGCAATTTACAATTATTAACAGAATATACAAATGACAGATTAGAATTCAGTTCTCATACGTACATTGTGGACAAAGCAATTGTTGGTGTAATAATAAAAGGCTTAATGCTCCTAAAGAAACAAATTCTATACTACAAGATGAAAAAAGATAATTCTAGATAGAAGAATAAATTATTGAAAGCTCAAAAGAAATAGTTTACTGAGTAAGAGCCATTCTTTATCTTGGTTTTTCTTTATTTCTAGGTGGTAGATTTATTAGTATCCATGTGTCGATCTGCATTAGAATCGCCTAGGAAAGTTGTCATTTTTGAGCCATATCCTTCTGTAGTTGATCCTAATGATCCTCAGATGCTGGCCTTTAATCCAAGGGTAAGTAGTTATCTCTTCAAAATATAGCAGGAATTTTTTTGGTCATATTTTAGATGCAAAACCCAGATCTTGCTTCACAGACCATGTGCCTTTACTGTCACAAATGTCTAATTAAAATATGGTATATGCTAAAAAATTGTGCCACTGAACCGTATGGCTAGGGACAGAAATTATATATAAACCACTATAAGTGACTGGAAACCAGTTCACATCTGTAACACAATGGAAGTTCAGTGCACATAAACCGTTTCCAAAATTGCCAAAACTGGTAAGATAAACCTGGATGGATGCAGTATCAGACTTAACTGATTAGGTTAAATAGATTTTATTGAACTTCTGTCCCAGATCCCCTCTATATTCAAGTTAACTCACAGTCCTCCAGCATCCCAGGATGCTTTGCACCTCCCCAAGTCCAACCTTTACAGGTGGGCTGGCTAGCCTTGGCCTGAGCTGTCTGTTTTAGCTTAGCAGGGAGGCATGCTCTAGTGCCCCCGGTGCTCCCCTGCACCACTTCAGGCATGTGGCTGCATTTCTGGAATCAAAAGTGAATGTCTGTTCATTTGCTTATCAGTTCAATCTGTGCAGCTTAAACTAACCTGTGAAGATTGAATCGATTCAGCCTTGGGCTTTTTGATGGTCTATACTTAGTCCTAAAGTATTGCAAACAATCATTGTTGTTTTGAAGGTAATTAGAAGTAAATTTTCATCCAGGGCTAAGGCTGAACGTTGTTGTTTGTGGGTACACATTGTAAATGCAAAATGTGTGTTGTCTTTTCTGGGTATATATTATCCTCTCAAAAGGGGAGGCAACTTGTGGTCCATTTAAATCATGTGGCACTAAAAAACAATATATGTTAGTTTACATTTAAAAGAATTGTCTATCACTATACTCACGTTGCTATTAATAAAATAATTGCTTCTAAAATGTCAGTTTAGTGTCCTATAGTGCTTAATACATAATACTACCATAAGCAGTAATTAATAAAGTGTATTGGCTATAACATGATTATGGAATTACTTACTATTCTATCTGATTGAAATTTGCTCCAGGAACCCTGAATTTTTCATAGAATTTTTCATAGTAAAGTAATAACAGAAGGGATTTCAGGCTGTTATTTAGTTCATCCCCCTGCTTATGGCATCCCTGACTAAACCATCCCAGTCAAGTGCCTGTCTAACCTACTCTTGAAAATGTTCAAGGATAGAGATTTCGCAACTTCTCTGGGTAGCCTGTTTCATTGCTTAATCACCCTCAAACTGAGGAAGTTCTTTGTAATCTTCATCCTAAATTTCCATTGCTCTAATTTGACCATTGCTCCTAGTCCTGTCACCTATTGCCACAGAAGAATCTACCTCCATCCTCTTTATAATTAGTTTGAATAAGACTAATATAATCAGAAAACTCTTTGAATCCCATGTTAGCCCTGTGTTAAAGGGTCACATGAGCTTTCTTGACTCTCTGCATCAAGATAAATTTCACCTTTTTCTGAGCAGAGGCCAGATAATGGAAGACTAGAATGTTCTAGAATTTCACTGATTCACTGATAGCCCTTTAGTCTGCTGAATGGGTACCATGTGCTGTTGATTAATGAGATGTACTGCTGGGCCTAGCATAGTTAGTAGTATGTTGAATGTTTGAAAGCAATTATGAGACTAAATGTGTGTGATTTAGTTAAATAATTGCCAGATCCATATATGGTTACAATTATTTGTAAAAAAAAGAGAGAGAGAGAGAGAGATCTAATATACTAATTGCTTGTGGTGAATTCTAATGAAACTAAAAGAAAAGCCACAAACCTAATTTTAGTCCCAGACTTTTCCTGGGCTATGGATGAGTTGATGAGTGAGATAGAAGGATATAATTGCATATAGATATTAGAGAAAGTTTGAGTTGTTGAGCCTTAGTTGCTGTTTGATGCAGAATGTACAGGAGCTCAGAACCAGTTTTTTGCACAGAAAAAAGAGGTAAAATATTTTAAATATGTTTGTTTACTTTATATTACATCAGAAGAAGAATTATGACCGAGTCATGAAAGCACTGGATAGTATTACTTCTATTAGAGAAATGACACAGGTAAATATAAGTCTTTCAATATCTTGACTATAATTTATAGCAAAACGTAGATATTTTATTTGTTGGTGTTTGGGGGTGGAAAGAAGGTAGTGCTCCTTTATTTTTGCTATGCATCAGCAAGAACATGCAGTAGCCAAAAACCAGAACTGATGAAATACAGTTCAGGTTTTTGAGGCTTAAATAAGAAATAATATCAGTGGAAAAGAACATTGTAACAGAATAATAGCCAACTGCTGCATTTCTGGATATATCAAAGCCAAGCCAAGTCTCTTATTTTCAAAGAAAAAGAAATTGATTTTGTGACAATGTGCTAGGACAATGGCTTTATTTCTATTATAACTAGAACCTTGTTCATTTAAGAACAGTTGGCAGGTATTGAGAGTTAGGGCTCTTGGGATTTATGCCATGGGATGTCTGAATACTCACTGTAGGACAGATTATGATATCCTTACTATTGTTGAATAGCACTATACTTCACAAGTAGTCCCACTAACGTTAACTGATAACTACTCATGGAGCAAAATGCTATTCAGTGCTATAAGAATAGGCATCTTACTGCTTTACTTTGCCAGGCTGTTAAATAAGTGAAACTTCCAGAGTTTTGTAAAGTTAATCCATGTTTGTAAAGTGCTTTTAGCTTCTAGAAGTGCAAATCATTATTATCATATTAGTATTAAATAAATAAATAAATAAATAAATATATACATACATACATACATACATACACACACGTATATATATGTGTGTGTGTGTGTGTGTGTGTGTGTGTGTGTGTATATATGTTACATATGGGGCATCTACATGAGACACTTACTGTAGTTGCCTAATTAGCTCCGCAGTAAAGCATCACCATCTACGTGTGGAGAGCTATTATTGGGCTGGAGTAAGGTAATTATTACCTCCTCTGTAAGTTAGTACTGCCTGACACAAGTACAGCAAAAGCTTTGTTATCCGGCACCCATGGGGATTGTGGGGTGCCAGATAACAAAATATGCCAGTTAATTGAAAGGCCCAAACAAGAGTCTTTGCCTGTTCAGGCCGCCACTTCTCCCACCGCATCCGGGACATCACTGCCCCTCCCACAGTTCCTGAGGGACAGGGAGGCAAGCACTGTGCAGCCTGCTATTCCCCGGACTGTGGGGACTCAGCAGCACAGGCTGCTTTGCCCCAGGCTGTGGGTGCTTGGCAAAAACCAGAAATGCCACAGTGGGCACGTCCGGTTTCGCTTTTACCTTAGAAGCCAGCATGCTGGTTAATAGAGTATGCCGGCTTGTAAGGTGTCGGTTAAGGCAGCTTTTACTGTACTATCCTACAGCAGAGTTATTAACTCTACCGCAATGCATATGTAGATGGTGACTGGTGCTGGCTGGGGCATACGGGTGCTACAGTGTGTGGGGATGCCTGCCAGATAGCCGCCCGTGCCCGCCTCCTCCCCTCCCTGCAATCGCACCCTCATGCCCCAACCAGCTCTTCCACAGTATGTTGAGCTGGGGCAGAGCAGCTCCATGCTGGCAGGCTGACCCCAGGCACTCTGCCAGCTTGGGCTGCACTGCCCTGGCTCAATGTGCTGCAGTCCCAGGTGTACATGTAGTAATCTAGACTGAATGTTTTAAAAAATACTCTGAAACAGTGGACAGTTTAACATTAGGATGAAGTGTAATTAGTGCTGGCCTAAGTAGTTTTTAAGTCCACTTTAAGGGCCGCTGTATTATCTAAGGAAATCAGTGAGAGTTTTTAGTGGGAACATGATCTGGTCCAGCAGTAATTTTACCTATCTAATACCATGAAGCAATTAAAATAACTTTGGGTAAATTACCCTAGAAGACTGTTTTCTGGAGTTCCAATCAATTTCCTAGTGTAGGTGCCAAACATCACTAAATGTTCTTTACTGTTCTTGCTGTAATCAGCAATGTTAGCTATAATATACTCATTTTGATGCTAATTATATGCCTATAATTTTGCTACAGGGAAAATAATTGCTATATTAATTCTTGTTGTTGTCAAAACACATTTAAAACTGTACAAGGCTAGGTGTCAGCAAAGCTGGGGCGTAGGTTTAATGATGAATCCAATGTATACATTTTTTTTCATATGAGGTGGTGTAATGCAATATCTAAAATATAAACTTTGGATTTTAACCAATAATAAATAGCACAATTACTGTTTTCTAGGCACCTTACTTGGAAATAAAGAAGCAGATGGATAAACAGGACCCACTTGCTCATCCTCTTCTGCAGTGGTATAGACCTGGCTGCTGTTGGTTGATAATCACTTGAAAATCAAGTTAAAAGAATAATCATATTATTCCCACTAACTTGAGCTTATTTCAAAGCAAGCCTTTTAATCAAGTCTCTGTGGGCTCTTAATCAAGGAGAATTTATGTGGTTCATAAGCCCTGAAGCTGGCCTTCCCCAGCGATCATTAGTCAATACACCTAAGAAAAAAATTCCTTATTTATCATAGGGTTGTCCAACTGGAAGCCTATGGACCACATGAGACCTGCTAGGAGCTAACATGTGGCCCACAGGCTCCTGCCTAGCCCCCAGTCCCCTCAGTGCTTCTAATGCAGCAGCATCCAGGTTCTCGAAGCTCTTTCCCCCTCCCCCGGGCTTCTGGTCCCGACCCCACTCTTTGCGGGGGGAGGGGGCATATCAGTGGGATGGGGTCAGGGTGACCATGCTGTGTACAGCAACAGAGAAAGGAGCAGCCTGCACACCATGTGCAGCAGAAAAGGTGGTGTGTCTGTGCTGTTTGCACAGCAAGGAAGGAGTTGGCAGCAGAGGGAGGAGCTGCTAGCATGGCACACCCAGCTGGCAGCATGGTGAGGCCACATGCATCTTGAGGGGGAGGGAAGATGGCTGTCTGTGCTACACAAGCAGTCAGGGATGGGGCGGGAGGGAGGGCCAACTGTACATCAGAGGCCCTTGAGCTAGCCATTGGCCCCCTGGTCTGTGGTCCGTGTAGCATGTGGCCCCCAACCACCCAGAAGTTGGACAGCCCTGGTTTATCATATCTTATACATGTACTTTTTTAATTTCAGGGTTATTTCTAGTAATAGGTCACATATTGTGAAACTTCCTGTGAACAGGGTAAGTTTGAGGTTTTTATCTGTTTCTGTACCATTATGGGAGGTTTCTAAAAGTACTCAACTTTGTATAATTCTGTTCCCATTTAAGCCAATGGGACTTTTACTAGAGACTTTAGGGAGAGCAAATTTAGGGCAGTGCTGAATGGTCCATGGTATTTGTGTGTGTCTTGTTTAGACAAGCACCACAACCTTTTCTATACCTGGTATAATTTCTGTAGTATTCATCTTACTGTTCAAATTTATCTCTTTAAAATTTTATACTATAATGGCTCCTTTGCATTAACATCTTTTTAGGGTGTGTATCACAGATGTAGGACTGTGTGAAACATAGCCAGTATATTGTAAAAAAAAGGGTAGAACCATTGAAATGGCTTATATCATGGATGTCCAACTCACCCTGGGCTAGGTCTGATCCACAGAGGTTCCTCCGGAGTCAGATCTGTGAGGTTAGCACCAATTGCGGTGGGTCTGCATTCCGGTAGCAGTATGGGTCCAAGGTCATGTAGGCAGCAGCACTGGGCCGGACAACAGCATAGGTTGGGTCCACATTCCAGTGGCAGCACAGGTCCACGTTCAGGTAGCAGCAAAGATCTGGGGCCCTGCCACCAATGGCCATGTCACTGGTCTGACCATTTAGTATGGACTGTAAGGGTTTTTGCTTTTCTCTGTAGCAAGGCTGGGGGGAGGGCAGGCCAGGACACTGCCCTCTACCTAGGTTCTCTTGAGCATATATTAACAAGCTTTTATAGAAGCAGGAAATTGGCTCCATGGTTCCCTTTCTTTACCTGTGGCAGGTTATGTCTGTTGTGTCAGAGTTGACAGGAGTGTTATGAAGAGTTTACATTATGGATTGCTTACAGTGGTTTGGATAGGGATGATCCTGCCTTGGGCAGGGGGCTAGACTAGATGACCTCTGGAGGTCCCTTTTAGTCTTACTTCTCTATGGCTGTGCGTAGATGAAATGAGTATAATTGATTCTGTGTCCATTAGGATCCAGAGACCCCAAATTCTGGAGCAGGCCATACCTCCCAGCTTCCAGTAGCCTGCTGGACTACCAGCAGACCATATGGAATGGTTCTGCCAGCCATATGTTTGTTCTTTCTTGAAAAAGTATATCTGTGTCTGGGTTTTTATTCCAAGTAAATCAGTAGCTGTCAAGCCTCAGTCTTAATTGAAAGCCACTTCTGCTCAGTGTAATTATTCTAGTAGTGTCATATTGGGTTGTAGATTATATCACAAACTTACATATGCTTCTTAAACTAAGAATTTTTAGAGCTTGATTTGAAATAAAAGCTGTGATAGTAAGACTGCCCTTGAGTTACTGAACTGAAGTGCAACAATATATGTTATGTGAACTAGCACAGTATCTTAGGAAGATTTCTTTCTGGAAGTACAATACCTGTTGTATCTCTTCACATCCTCTGTGTGCTGTTGTATTTTACAGCAACTGAAATTTATGCACACTCCCCATCAGTTCCTCCTTCTCAGCAGTCCACCAGCCAAAGAATCCAATTTCAGAGCTGCTAAAAATCTGTATGGAAGTACTTTTGCATTTCAGTGAGTATGAAAAAAACAAACAAAATAATGATAATATTTAGCTGTCATCTGCCATTAAAATACATTGTACTACAACAATTGTTTATTTAATTCAGGATACTTAAAACTATTACTTCTCATGCTTTCCATTTTATTTTTAAGTGGTTCACACATTGAAAACTGGCACTCCATCCTGAGGAACGGCTTAGTTGTTGCTTCCAATACAAGACTGCAGGTAAATAGCAGATGGAAGCATTCTTATTTAACTTGAATATGTCGTGTTGCATATTGAATGCAGGACAAATGTGCAAGTGAGCATTTCAGACAGCAGTGGAGTTGTGATGGAGACCTACATGGAGCAATTAGCTCCTTCCTTCCTCCATCCCTGATACAAAGGTTCTGCTGGTCCTTTAGAGACCATTAATGTGAAAACATGGCAACATGAAACTTTGCATCTAACCTGCCATTGACTTCAACATAGCTATGATTTCACCCTTATGTTGTACACAGAAGAACCCATAGTGATGAAGAAGTGCCAGACACAGGGCTGCCCTTTCCCTCAAGAGGTGTTGTTCAGTAAGGCTCTGCAAAGCCTCAGTTGCTGATTCAATTTGGCCCAATTTGGCAGCCAAATCTCCAAATCCAAATGGAACCAGGAGACCCTTTAATCTCTCCAAATCAAATTGGAACCCTCTGAATCGATTCTGAGAGATTTGGAAATATTTGATGATTCAGACATAGACACAGCTTTATATGTTTTTTCTACATACCTCAAGGTACCAGGCGGCTCGTGAATGCTTAGATACTGGGGCAGATGGAGTGTCCCGCAGGAGTGTGGGGAGTCCCCAGCATGCTTGACAGTGGACCAGAAGTCCTTCCAGTCCACCCAGGGGGCACCCAGAGTCCCCCTGTGGCTGATTTCCGAGCCAGGAGGGCATGGGGGGCCCCCACACACTCAGCAGCAGACCCAGAAGTGGACCAGAAGTACTTCTGGACCACTTCCTGGTTTGCCGCCGAGCACATGGGGGGTCCCCCTGTGCTCCTGTGGAACACTCCATCCGCCCCACCGTTACAGCTTTCATGAGCCGCGCCTGGTACTTCAAAATATGTAGAAAAAACATTTAAAGCTTTGTCTATGCCGAATCCCTGATTCTCTGAATCAGCATTAAATCTTCAGATTCAGATTTGGCTGAATCAAATTGGGACACTGATCTGAATCAATTAATCGAATCACTGTCCCCAATTCAGGCTGAATCTGAATTGAATACAGCCTGTTTCGCACACCCCTATTGTTCAGTAATGTTCATTGAGCCTTACTGAAGTCCCAGATCCACACTGGACTTAAGTGCCACAATGCAGAACATAGATATCCCTACAGAAGGTCTCTGTAGCAGAATCCATGTCCCTGAGTTAGATGCCTGAGAGTGCTAAATCTAACAGGTGATCTAATTTTATGAATAATTTTTGACGTTATTGAATGAATCCAAAACTCTAAGTTAGGTTTGTAGGCTTTTTACACAGTATCTGGGCAGAGTCAGGCTCATATAGTGGGATCGGATGGTATTGGAAAATTGTCCTTGCAGTTTTCTTTTATAAAACTTTAGAAAATAACATTAAACAATTCTTGCCTTCTTTTTCAGCTCCATGGTGCAATGTTTGGAATCGGGATCTACCTTAGTCCATTGTCAAGCATATCATTTGGTTACTCAGGTGATATTTATAAATCACTCTAGAGCTAGAGAGATTGAGGGGGATATTTTAATTTGCTGCTTCTTCTACCTGCTTCGTTTTTTAATCATTGTAATAACTTTGTCCCCTAGGCTCCATAGGTCAAGATTTTAAAAAAATGGTGCTTAAAAATAGACTCCTAAATTGCCCTTTGTGATCTTAAAAATTATATCCTGATTTTCAAACATGTCAAATGGTCAGAAAATTTCACTGAAATCAATGGTAGTTGCTGGGTGTTCAATATTTTGAAAGTACATAGACTTGGAAGCCCAATTTGACATTCTTGTTTTTTAAAAGTGTGTAAATAAAACTTTATGATAAAAGTACACTGCTTGCATTTGTGCACTGCTATGTGTAGGCATACAGAACCTGATCTCGCAGGGTACTTTAAGTGTGTGTTTCCATTTCATCCATGAGCTCAATAGAATGCTTACGTTTAAGTATATTGTAAAGTTCCCTGCTGCATCAGGGTCATATAGGGAATATAAGACACTACATTGTAGAAAATATGAATTCCATAAGGTTGCAAAAATGGCATGACTTCCAAGTGGCAAATCCACAAATGAATTAAGCAGTTCACTACAAAGCCTTTTTACCAGGCCCCAAGTCAAAGTATATATTAAGAAACTTGTGTACGGATTTTTAAAATATTTTAAAAATATGAAGCTGAATTCCTAATATTTGCACATGCTCATAATAGTTGGAACAACTGTGTATTTGTATGTATAAATAGTTTTAAATTACTATTAAATATAAGTATAATATTAGTGCACTAGGATTAAATTAATATCATTGTGTAAAATATGGAGGCTATAGATCATTTTCAGGAATGAAAAATTTAATTTTTCAAAGTCATTTGTATTGATTAGCATTAATAAGGACACCAAACTCTCACTTATCCTGAGAAAGATCTCACAGTAAAAATTGGAAATCTTTTGGACCCTCTGGCTCAGTTGTGTAAGCAATGTAAATGTTAACATGTGGGTTTTTTGTGCAATATATTATAACATTTTGTTTTAGTTGCCTGTTATTCCCTAAAACCTGAAGGAATAATACAAAAGGCTCACAAAGTGGCCATGTTTACCCAAATGTCTTCCATTTTAAAAGATTCTTCTAAATTAAGAAAATGAAAAATTGTTAAAATGTGACACGGATTTCAAAACTAGGGAAGCACTGATAGAGATATTTTGGGCTGATACCGATGGCCGATTTTTAAGGAGCCATATTGGCCGATACTGATTTGATTCGGATATGCAGCCAGGCAGCTCAGAGACCAGTGTTGGGCTGGTAAGTCTGGTGTGGAAAAAGGAGTGGGGGGAGGGAAGGGGCGTGAGTTGGGAGGCAGATTAAGGCACCCATGGTGAAGGAGGGAGTGGGGCAGGGGCAGCCACTGCTCAGCCAGGGCAGGGCAAGATGCGAGACAGAGCCATGAGCAGCTCATCCAGGAGGCATGTGGGCCAGGTGGGGGGTGGCTCCTGCCCTGCATGCACCCTGGGAGGGCATGGAGGGGCACATGCCACCAGATCTCTATGGGGCGGGGTGGGATGCCGCTGCGGGCTGGGGTCAGGGCTGGACTGGGTTGCGCTGCACTTAGGGCAGGTGGCGCCGGTGCTGGGAGCAGGGCTACAGGAAGCAGGGGCTGCAGCCACCTGAAAATTCTCCATAGCCTGCCAAATCCCCCCTCCCAGTGCCGCCACCACCACCCACCCCAAGTGCAGTGCAGCCCAGCCCAGCCCCCACCAGGAAGAGCCTGGCACAGCCCCCAGCCTGCCCTGCCCCCACCCACTCACAGATCCGGGGGGACACACCCTCCTGGGGTGCATGAACCAGTGGGAGCTGCCCCGTGCTCACCAGATGAGCCACTCGCAGCTCTGTCCTTCGCCCACCCCGACCTGGCTGGACAACACCTGCCCCAGCCCCACTCCTTCCCTCACCCCGGGGGACTCAATCTGCCCTTCCCCCCACCTCTTCCCCCATACCAAACTTACAGCCAGATGGTGATCTCCGAGCTGCACATGCATGGGTCATTTATTCACCGTATTATCGGCCACATCAGGCAAAAAAAGCCTCTGGTACTTTCAATTTTCTCTATATTGGTGCTGATCTGATAATGAGACTGATGTATTGATGCACCTCTATTCAAAACTAAAGAATGTTTTTAAATGAGAAAACAGTGCAGGTCTTTGCATGTCTGTATTTCTTTTTTCATACTAATACATCAACTAGTTAATTTGTACTTCAGAGCTCCTCCAAACTCACTTCTTTCCATTTGTTATCTTTTAGTAGTACACCTGTAATAGCTGCTCTTGATTTCATTCCAGTTTGGCCTAGATCCCAATATAAAGCCCTTGAAATATGTGAGAATCTTTAAGTTGGCTTCATTTGGGCCATGGGGCAGGCTCTTCAAGAAAATCAGAGCAAACATAATAATAACATAAATAAATAATGATTATATATAATTCTGTATATAACTAGGAAGAAAAATGGACATAAATAACTATAAGATCTGTTCTCTTGGGTCTGTAGTGCCCTATCCCTTTTTTTCTTGTAGTGTCTCTCTACTTTCCCTCCTGATTTTCTCCTCTTCAAGGGTCTTGGCATGTGGTTCTGGTGTTACATGCATCAATTAATAATGTAAGCTCTTTACTACAGAGACTTATCTTCCCACTTGCTTTCTAATGCTACATATACCAGCACTTATGTGAGACTAGGGCTAGAGCCTCAAACACTCATTAGACTGGAGAGTCAAACCTCCAACAAATTATGACTCTCTGTTTGCAAACCTCATAGAGGTATAATATATTTTAAAACAAAGACTATGAGTTTATGTAGGCACTGATATGCAGCAGAAGTAGAGCATGTCACCTGAAAGGAGCAGTATAAGGAAGGCCTGAGATGCAAGATACAACCAAGGGCTTTAAAATATGCCAGGTAGGGATATATTGGCTGACAGATTTTTCCCTGAGATATTATCTCACACATAAAAATAACTAATTGAAAAAGAAAACCTTTAAATAGGAATAAAAAAAATAAAAGAAAAACACTTAAGCGTATTTATTACTTATTATAGTATTATAAAACAGCATGTAAAACAACAAATACAACTTAGTAAAATATTAAAGATGAAGGGTTCAATTAAAATCTCTTACGTTCTAATTGTTTTATTCATACTACGTAGGGCTTTAAATCACAAGTAGCCTGAGAACAATTAACCTGAAGCACTGCTGAACTCCACCCCTGTTTAGCATGCTCTTAAACTGAATTCTGTGGCACTAAATCTCACACTTAACTGATTTAGCACCTGCTCCATTGGCTATTCTCAAGGCTGGAGTTGTGGGGGGGGGGCTGGAGGAGGGAGTATGTAAATGCATGGCTGTTTGGACTAAATCAGTCTAGCAGTGAGGGAAGTAACAAGGGCTGCCTGTACATGTGCTCAGGGGTGAGGGGTGGGACATTTTAATTAGAGCGGTCCCAAAGAGCTGCTCTAATTAAAATGCCTCATGGTCATGTGTAGTAAAAGTCCTACGTGCTTAAACATGGCCACAGGACATTTTACCTAAACCTCATTCAACAAGGTTTAGATTAAGCACCCCCACAGCCATTTTAAAGTATGTGGGGACTTATACACATGATGGTGAGGCCATGCTGGAGTGTTCTAATTAGAACGTGGAGCGGACATGATTAAATGAGTCTGCTCTGACACTTTCTAACTGGAGCATGAACCGCATGTGTATAGGCAGACAAGTATTCCACACCAAAACCTGTTTGTACTCTCCATATATAATGTACACTGATGAAGCTTTACACACCCCATTGTATCTGAAGTAATTTTGATGTCCTTAGGGATGAACAAGAAGCAGCAGAAAGTGTCAGCTAAGGATGAACCTGCTTCAAGCAGTAAAGGCAGTAATGCATCACAGGTACAGTAGCATATCATATATCTTGAAGACATACGGTTTTATGATCAAGTGCTCAACATCTGTGAAGGAATTAATATTCCTTGTTGGAAGCCCATAGTCCTCTTCTATATCAGCAGTACTAGAGATACTGTTACAATCAAATATAACTCAACTGCTTTCAGGGACAACTTTACTGATTACACTCTGTGCCAGTACATTCCAGACAGAACTATGTGGAATGAAAATGGGAAAGAAAGGAAGATTGACTGTTAAATTTAACATCACCTCTACCAAACCTGTGAACTCCTTACTAAACTAATGGCTATCAGGGCTTTAGAATGGATGATGCTGTAAAATGAATCGATATCTATAGTATTGCATCACTGATTTTCTTTATGTTAAATAGTTTCTAAATATTCAGCCAGTAAACTTGCTAAATTGAAGGCAAGATCATTTCAAGTAATTATACAGCTACACTGGACTGAGAGATAATGAAATCTATAGGAGGAAATTCTATAGCTGCCCATATGCAAATGTGTACAGAGCATTTCCACAGTACTTTGTGCAACTGATTCAAAAGGATTTTGTATCCCCTGTAGGTTACACATCTTCTGTATTCCTCTCTATTCTGTCACAAGCAGAGAGAATGAGATGGGCAGTAAAGTAGCAGTAGCAGATGTGCACCAATAAGTCCATAACTGCATTCATCTACTAGTAAAGCCCTCTTTGTAGAGCATTCTGTTATCTCACATGCTACAGTACTTTTGTACTATATCCTGTATGGTAGCAAAAAAAATCTATCCCTACCCATACCACTTGAGGAGAGCAGTTATACAGAAGGCTCAGATACTCTTAAAGCCCATGAATTAAATAATAGGGCCTGTGCCCCTGTATTCTTCTGTCAGCCACAGGTGAAAATTCCATATTTTAGGAATTTGAGCAGTGGAACATTTGCCCATTTTACTCTATTTATTAGTCTTTTTATCAGTAATAAAGTGATCCTCCTAAAAACACTATGCAATCCTTAAATTGCTAATGAATTGGAACCATTCTCATTGGACAAGATGCTTAAATCACTACTTAACGTTTTAAGTTCCTAAAATAAATGTTTTAGTGAGGCTGTGTCAGTGACTAAATGAACTGTTGAAGGGAACATTGCTTTTTGTTACGTTTGTTTGTTTTGCCTAACTGCTCTTACTAATTTTTTTTAATGTTTTTACATCTCAGTCACAGAAGAAAGGACAGCAATCTCAATTTTTGCAAAGCCGTAACTTAAAATGCATAGCCTTATGTGAAGGTAAGGTGAAAATCTTTTCAAATACATTTTTTTTCTGGGAACTGTATCTATTTGAATTAGTTAAAATGCAAATTAATACAAGCTTAAATTGAAGTGTTTTTTTTAATAAGAGTATGTTATCGGGCATGCAAATACCTACTTAATTTCTAGCCTTTAAGTCTCAGTGTATTTGGTGACCACTCACCCAAAAATATTGGTTCCCAGAGCAGGCACTGTGAACACTATGATTGGTTATTCTCCTGTCAGTCTCCTAATTTCAAAAAATTAACTGTCTTGGTAGCGTGCTTTCCTTTACCACAGAGGCAGCCTACAAATCTGTGAAAAAGCATTAAACATCAAATAATCAGAACAGAGAACTATCTAGTTTGAATTCCCAACCTACCTCTCACTACTCAGATAAATGAACACTTTTTCTGGTAAATAGTAGGGGCGGGGGGGTGAAGCAGGCCCTATTCGATTTGGATTTGGCCTGAATCAGGGACAGTGATTTGACTCATTGATTTGGATCACTGTCCCTGATTCAATTCAGCCGAATCCGAATCTGAAGATTCGATGCTGATTCAGAGAATCAGCGATTCGGACATAGACACAGCTTTAAATGTTTTTTCTACATACCTCGAGGTACCAACATGCCTAGTGAATGCTGTGATGCTGGGGCAGATGGAGTGTCCCACAGGAGTGCAGGAAGTGGGGGGGCCTCCATGTGCTTGGTGGCAAACCCGGAAGGGGACTGGAAGTACTTCCCAGCAATCGGGCATGGGGGGACCTCGGGTCCAGGAGGCACCAATCGCCAAGCCGGGGGTGCCGGGGGGCCCCCCTGCATGCTCCCCGGCGGACCTGGAAATGGACTGGAAGTGCTTCTGGGCCACTTCCCGGTCTGCTGCTGGGGGCACTGAGGACCTGCCCCATGCTCCTGTGGGACGTTCCATGCGCCCCGGCATCATAGCATTCACCAGCTGCCTGGTACCTAGAGGTATGTAGAAAAAACATTTAAAGCTGTGGCAATCTCTGAATCTTTCCGAATCTCTCCAAATTGATTTGGAGGGTTCCAATTTAATTTGGAGAGATTAAGAGCCCAATAAAGGGTCCTGTGATTCAATTCGGATTCAGAGATTTGGCCACCGAGTCGGGCCAAATCTCCGCCAAATCAAATCAGGGACTGAAGCTTCACACAGCCCTAGTAAACAGTACCCACTAGCTCCTGTTTGTTTTCTTCATGCGTTAAAACCCACTCCGTTTGCCTGGTCTGCATACTTACTGTATTTAAAAAAATATTTAGTCATTCTGAAATACCTCACAAAATACATGTTTTTGGAAGGCAAACAAATGCTCATGACAAATTTGAGTTGTACAAATAATTGATTTTTAGGTTCATTGGATAAACTGAAAAATAATATAAAAAAAAATGTGAGATCTAAAATGAAAATAGTTCTATTTTGCTGGCAATACGGAAAATTGAAAAAATCCTATGATTAGCTAACTAATCAGTGTCTGCACGGTGCAGCAGATATGTAGTGAAAAACTGGACATTCCCACAATGCTATTCAAAATATGTCAAAAAGCAAATAAATTTAGTGCTAGTTCCTATGCATATTTTCTTCACTCCACAAATTTTCTCCTTACAGTGATAACCTCACCTGATCTGCACAAACATGGGGAGATATGGGTAGTTCCCAATACTGATCATGTGTGTACAAGGTTTTTCTTTGTGTAAGTATAAAGCATCTCTTTAGCTTTAAAATTCTACTTGTATGTTGACTAGAATTTTTGCAGGTGTTCTCCTAGCTACCTTTAAAAGATTGGCTTGTGTGTATGCTAAATGAACCATTTGTTACAAAAAATACAGTGAATGAAGAGCTATTCACTGTTCCCACTCCATGGCAATAGGTCACACTATTATAGGCCTGTACTGATAACTTAGAAAAATGAAAATGCAGTGCTACCAGAACATATTTTAGAAAAGCCAAGGGAAGTAAAAGTTTCCATGCAAAACAAATCCATTCTATCACACAGATGTTTCCCTTTATCATTTCTTATTCTATAACAGCGCACTCTATATTGACATAAGGTACAGTCCAGTTTGATCTTCGAGGTGGCTGAATGGGACTCTAGTCACCTAAATGGATTTTAAGCACCAAAGGCAGCAAAAGCAATCCACTTTGACCTGGTCCCACTAATCAGAAATCATCCTAAACACACCTGCTTTACACAGTGCTTACTGTTTAGATCTTAGTGATCCCCAGGCACTTTTTTTTTGTTTTCTAGGCCAAGTTAAACCCCTTTGCAATCCAGTTTGGTCTTGGGAAGGTGCACGATTCCTCAGAAAAACACAACCGGCTAGACCAGCTGTCTAAAACAAAACGCAATCCAGTCACTAGTGGCAAGGACTGGGATCCAAAACTCTTTCCACCCAAGTCCAGGCAAAAACCTAATAATTAGCACACACTCCTGGGAAATGAAAGACATGAGTTCATATCCATCAAGATAAGGAGGGCCTAGAGCTTAGGCTTCCCATTTTTAAGCAAATACCCTATCCACTAGGCAGTTGGGAAAAAAGATGAATTTCCTACCACCAGTCAGACATCAAGTGGACTGAACAGAGTTGCAGAGTGTTCAACATATGCTCTGGAAAGTGGGCAGGAATGAAAACACCCTTGTGTTTTCATGTAGGTGACGCCACACTTTCTGAATCAGCTTTTGGAGCTGCCTGTCTCTTGCCATTCTCTGCATAGAGCATTCAGGGTTTTAAACTCAGCCAACTTCACCACTGTTAGCTACTAGAGCAGACAAGGTCAATCATATTTTGAACCAGGATCTTTCACTCTGATTCTAAGCAGGAGAAAGCTGCACCAGTTTATCTCGTCAACACAGAAGGTTTTGCACAAGTACATCTACATTAAATGGCTGACTACCGATGCCTGGAAGAGGACAGATCTTCAGTTTAGACAGTTAGTGTTCAGTTAGTGAAGATGAAAACTCCAGGAGCTTGTATATGTTTTGACAACACTGCATCCCAGAGGGATTTCAGGTACAGCTGACAGTACCAAAGGATACTGTCCTCGTACTGCGGGGATGAGCTGTCAGCAGGCTACACAGAGCCCAGGGGACAAGCAGTAGTATCAGAGCCCTTGTCACGTCTTTGTGTACTGTAGTATTATTGATGGAAACTATAGGGCTTTTCTTTACAGGGCAAATCCTGTCACTAAGCAAAATCCACACATCAAAGTTCACACTGTTCACATAAACCTTTATTGCTGAGTGTTTCAGTAAGAGGCATGTTATAAAATCATATAATCATTATTATCTTTTATTGAACAAAACTATGAACACTTTCAGGTGGATTAGTAAATGCTCATTTTGTTTCTGTGCTTTTTAGTTATGAAGATGGTCAAGTGGGTGATACAAGTATAAATACGCAAGAGCCAAGCATTCATAAAGAGATCCTTCGAGTCATTGGTAATCAAACTGCAACTGGTTAAAAGGATCACTTTTATTAAATTGATGTGATTTGGAAGCCTTCCTCAGTCTCAAAGCTGGATTTTGAACTGAAGAAGAAGACATGAAAACTAATTTATTATTCATATTCTAAACAAATTAACCCTTTGAATACTTACTGTTTTCTTACTTAGTATTTCTTATCTCAATGAAATACCTAAAATGGTACAAGTTAGCAACTGTAGGGGTGCAAAGTCTATTAATATACTACAACTAATAGCAATTAAACAGACATTTGGGTTGCTCACAATAAACATAATTTAAAAAGGAGTTTTGTGCTGATATTTTTATATTAAACTCTTGAATTGGACCATTTTAGTACTGTATACTGGTAATTTACATTTAAAATGACTGAATTAAAAGAAAGGAAGAAGATTTTATAGTGGAGAACCTGCATTATACAGGATACTTTGCAATAAGTAAAATATTCACATATTTTAACACACAATAAAAATGGTTGTCTGGAACATGTCAAGAAAGGTGGTTACCTAAAATATCTTTGATTCATTTTACTGTATACAAATGCAACTAGGATTTAGAGTAAAAAAGTTAAAAGAAAACATTTCTTTATGCTGTTTATGCTGTATTCAAGTTATTACCAAGAGAAAAATAATTATATGATGGCATATAATTTGTTGACTTTATTCTCTCGATACAAACTACACCATCTAGTAAACAGTTGGGTTACATTTTTTTTTCCAAAAAAAGATACAAGCCAAGCAAACTGAGCAGAATTTCAGGGGTTGATAATTTGTTGTTAGGATGTTGGTGTCCCAGATTTTACAATTATCTATGAGCCCTATTCAGCAATGCACTTGTGTTTTATTCTTGATTTTAACTGGACTGTTCTTGTGGTTAAAGTGAGTGACTCTAAAGTCCCTTGCTGAAGTGGGGTTATATGTTTGCCAGATTAGTAAGAAATAACAAATATTACAAACTGTCAGAATTACTGATGAGTTTTTTGATGGAAGTATTGTTAATTCATCAAATAAATCACCATTGTTTAAAATTAGATATTATAGCTATTTAAAATAACATGGCTACCACATTGTGAGCATGATGGTAGCAAGCCTAGGGACCAATCCTGCAAGGTGCCAAGCATTTCTTGGGAGGTGCTGATTGCCCTCAGTTCTTACTGAAGTCATCTCTCAGAATCATGCCCTTACTTGTTGCCAGCATTTTCTAACTGTACACCTCCACTTTCTGCCAAAATTAGAAAGGGAAAGGGAAAGTTATAGAAACAAAAACTCGCTATGGAAGATGGTAGTCTGAGACCAACAGTGGCCAATATTGCCACTGGTATGATCATGATCTGAAAGACCCTAGTAACAACAACATAGTGTTTTGTTTGTGTTTGGTTTTGTATTTCTTTAAAGAGGCCTAAGCTTTGCATTATACTGTACAGAGATTTTAGGATTGGGAAATTCCTTCCTGAAGAACATTTACACTTTCTGTATTCCAAGCTAAACCTAGTCCTGTTTCATTCAACACAAAAGAAACCTCACCCAGAATAAAGTTGAAGTTCTCTAGAATAAAAGTGGTTTCTGTGGCATAGGGCCATCTGTGGTGATGTTGTAGAATTGCAGTATGGTTCCACGTCTGGCATCAAAGATGATTTCTGCAATTAATCTACATGAAGCAGTTAGGTAGTGTGGGTTGTGTGACTAAATAAAATCAAGCAAACTTAGAACTGAGAGCTGGAAATCTTGCCTGACCATCCCTACTTAGTTTGCCCATGTGTATACATACACACAAAATGGTTTATACATTTACATATGTACGTTTGGCTGAACAACAATTGTGTGATGTTATCATAGTAGATGTAATGAAATACTTAAATCCTGAGGGGAACTGATTCCTAGGGCAGGTATCAAGTCCATAGTGGCTTCAGAGGCTAGGTGGAATAATGGGCCAAATACAGGATGTGGCATTCTTCCTTCCCCAGCTAAAGCCTAAATCCTAGAGATGCCTGCTTTATGGATGCCCAGAGTAACTATGGCATTGAGCCAAAGTTTTTTTGCATACTGTTGCTGCTCTGCTGGATATCTAAGAGCATCTCCATAGGTGCAACCACTCTGTTGAGAGAAGGAACAGTTCTTCCCCATGTTTCTGGAAGGGTGGAACAAGAATTTTTTTTCCTGATTCTTGGACTCTCCCATCCAAGTTTAACTCTGGGACAGAGGAAAGATGAAGATGTTTCCTTCTCAAAAGGGCTGCTGTACATACCAGCTGCAGGAAGCTTACAGCTTCACTCCTTTTCCCTTTTGAGACCGCTTAACAAAGGTTAACCTCATGAGTGGATTCCAAGTGAATGGCAGAGGCAATGCCAGATTTAGACAAAGCAGGGAGCCAAAAGAAAGCTCCTGTTTCTCAACTGCAGCCTCCATTCATAGAAAAGGGGAGAAAGTGCGCCCTTCCCACAAGTCAGAAGCACATGGGAAGAGTCACAGTTCCCATGGCCAATCTGTCATGATGACAGAGAAGGAAACAGCCACTTAGTAGGGGGAAGACTGAACCCCAAGTGATAAAGGGACAAAGGATACTGGGTGGGACACAGACACTGGGGAAAACCATTGTGATGTCCAGGGACAGAGTATGTTGGGGGTACACACACCAGAGGCTAGAGAACACTGCTGGCCTGCTCATCAAAACAGTGGGGAAATTTATGCTATGGAAATTTAGTCAGGGAGTTGAGGGGAGATAGAGCACACTGGTGAACAGAACATAAAAAACCACAGGGAAGGGGGGCAAAATACACAAAGGGCATGAAATAAAGCATAGGATGTTTAACTTGTGTTCACTCATTGACATAAGAAGACATGGTGTACAGAGGAGACAGAAACCTGCAGGCACAAGACTTATAACGTGGGGGAAGACAGAGTGTTTTGGTACCAAGCAGCACAGTGCATAGGGGACAGAGAGCTGGGAACAAAGTGTAGAGAAGGAGTGCTGAGCCCTACATATATGAGAGGCAAGGATTCTTTAGGGTGATATCTTTTAGTGGACCAACTGCATAGTTGGGATAGAGTTAGACAAGCTTTTGAATGCAAGACATTCTTCTTTAAGTCATTTGGAGAATCTGAAGAAGAATGTCTTGAATTCAACTGCTTGTCTAACTGTATCCCAATTATGTAGCTGGCCCAATAAAAATAATTCTTAGACTGTATACAGGCAGTGCCGTACATACCAACACAGAGAAAGTTTTAGAATACCGATTTAGAACATGGTGCTGAAAAGATCCAAGATCAAATCTGGACCCAGCTCCTTATATCCCCCAATTTTTGGTTCCAAGCAACTCTCCTGTTTCCCTCTTCCCCCTGTTCTTCGCTGTGCCTCTAGGAGTCTCTCCCAGAAACACGGTGCACTCCTAAGAGAGGTGGAGACCAGGGTTCACATAGAATGGCAGCTTTCCACTTTCCCTCCCTCTGCTGCCCTCTGTCCATCCCAGAGACCCAGAAGATGTGGGCGAGTGTGCGCCCACTGCCAGTCTAAAGGAACCGTGGAGCTTTTCTGTTTCTTTTTTTCCCACTTCTGTGCTGTTCCTCAGCAAGGAAGTATAAAAGCCTCACAGACAGTATGTGGTCATGGATTATCAGTCCTAACCCTTGTGGGTTTTGCCTTTTAATGTTCTCTTTTTCAAAATTACTTCAATGTGAAGTAGTTTGCTGTGGTTGAACCTGTTTATACCAGTATTAGGGTTTTAAAAGCCACTTGGGCATCCAAACAAACTGGGAAAAACCAGAGGGCCTGATCCTGCAAAGTTGTGAATGAGGTTGAGTGCTGTGAGCACACCTCAGAATCAAGCCCTGGCGGCATGCTATTTCTCTTCCTTCCTTCCCTTCTCTCTTCAATACACCGATTTCTGAAGAAAATGTAGTTAATTACCTCTGGGAAAACCAGTGACTTCTGAAGGTCATATGACCAAAGCCTGCAAAGAGCTCAGCTGAATTTCCCCTGAAATTAGTGGGAGTTGAGGCCATTCAAAATCTTGCAGACACAATGAGGGAAATCCTCTGTGTTATTAACAGTGGGAGAATTACGCTGCAGCTCATTTTGAAATACAATGCATTTATTTTTCTCCACCAAATTACTGCCAGGAAAATATTTTTGAGTGTTATGGTATCTACACATGAACAAGAAACTGCTGTTACTTTCTGTAAAGAGAACGCTGGTGCTTTTAGTTTTAAAATGGCAAGGAGATTTCTTTTGGAGGCCATGACCCAGAAGTAAATAGCTGAGATATTGTAAAGCCAGTTTCCAGACTGGCACAGAGATGGCATAGAGCAGAATGTTTCTTACCAGGGTAACGCCTGAGGGAGAGAAGCCAGTGGAAAGGCCACGTCTCTGGGGCCTTTCTGTGAGATTTCTCCCTGATTATTTTATATTAGAGGGAAGAGGTTTCCCAGCCTCAAACCGTGCAGATACCTGTGGTCACTAAAAAAAAAAACCAAAGGCTTTGTGTGAAAATCTCCTATGTTGTCCCTGAATTCCCAATACTTCTTGCTCCATGGCATCACAGCTCTGCTACTAGCACACTTATTGGTCACACCTCTCCCTTTGAACTCCCCTTAAAGAAGTATGCCTGGCATAGGTTGCATTCCACAGGAAGGGGAATATAGCTCCAAGCTCTATCATCTTTCCTCGCAAATCTCCATAATACCAGGTGATGCCACACCACATGGACCTACCCATCCAGTGCACCCATGCTTGGGTAGATTTCAGTCCTATGGAGAAGTGTCAGAATTGGGATAGGAAACTGCTATCCACCTTCTATGTGATGCATCTCCAGGTTAGAAACCCAAAAATATAAGTGTTTTCAATGAAAAAAAAACCAAAGGAAAGAAAAGAAACATGTTGCACAACAATAGTAATCTGTCCGCCAATGGCTCCAGTTGTCTGTATCAAGTGTTAACACTCAAAAAGGAAAAAAAATCTTTTGAAGCCTTTCCTAAATTCAGTCAGATATTTAGCCTTCAAGAGATTAAGCAATGTGAGCCATTCCTTCGAGTTTAAACTAATATAGTTCCACTTTCTTCAATAAACCTATGCTATTTTACATCATACAGGATTCTGGCTCAGCATCTCTTACCCTACTGGCCAGTTTGTATAATACTCTGCTTCTGAATGTTTTATGGAAACATAGTCAATGATGCCAGAATTTTTATATTTGTACTTTTTTTCTTAAAAAGAACTGTTTACTGATGCTGTATAATTTTAATGTTAGAGCTGTGGGTACTAAAAGTGAATCCAATGAACAATGCTAAGATTATGCTTTCTTTAATTGTTACAAAGATGTGGCAGTTTCCTAAAGAAGGTCTTATGCTTGGATGAAATGTAATATATTTGTAAAAACACACTTTTTAGCTGCTGAAATAATTAGCTAGTTTTCAGGGCCATAACTGAGTACAAAACAATGGGAAGATAGATATTTAAATATGGTTCTCTATTCAAAACAACAACAAATATGTTATTAGTTAAGTAGTATATACATTTGAATGGAAGTTTTCTTAGCTCTAAAAAAAGTAATTCCAATTCAGAAAAGAACATTTGTAATGCAGGTTTGACAAGAAAATAAATATACACAAGTAAAAGTTCTTTGATAATCTTAGCATTTTCAAACAACTGGATTTTGGGTCCAGTCCTATGACGTGCTGAATACCGCATTCAGCGCCTCTTAGGAGTAGGCCCTTGAAAAAAAAAAGTGTGTTCTTTTATGTACTAGTTATTCTTTGCTGTCATGGTAAGTTTTAAAAGAGATTCTGAAGCAAAGGCCCATTGCAAATGAGACCATCTTGTAGAATTCTGTGTATATTTTCATCAGAATATTTGGGTGGATTTTAGCAGGACTGAATTTTTGTTTTATTATTCAGTGATACAGTGAAGCAAGCAGCGGTTTTGGTTGTTAAGAAGATAAATGAGTGGGGTATACAGTCAAGATCACTGTTAAAATACCTGGGCATCTTTCTGTTATTTAAGACTTTGTCATGCCCTGAAGTGTTGACCCGTTAGAACTGCCTTCCCCTGACTGAAGAATACATATGCTTCAATCAGCTACCATAGTTATGGGTATGGCATACATCAGTGATGGGAGCACTGACTGGAACAAACTAGGTTTCAGGTTGTCTCTTTGGGCATTTAGAATCCTACGGGCACTTTATTTGCAGAATTGAGGTGTTGATTTGATGCCCTGCTGAATTTCTTTGTCACAAACACTACCTCAAGATGAAAGGCAAACCTGTTGATTAAACGAAATAAGCTCTCCTATTTCAAGAGCAGTTAAATATAACATGTAGGACTAAAGAAAATCTCCAGTTTTGTCTGCCATGTCTATAACTAGAATTCACTTTGTCCTTTGTAGTGTCATTGATCATAGTGGAAACTTGTGCTTCAGATAGTGATGATAAAAATAATGTAGAGTTTTACATATGAAGGTTTTGTTTAACTGGTTGAATTTTGCAGTTTGACTTTGCAGACTTTAGATTTGAAGATGTTTGGCTCATGTTGTCCTATGCTGGATACCTGTTCTTTAACTCAATGTTCATTAGCTGGAGTAACAGCCACTGAGAAGACCAAACAATATAATGTGTAGAGCTAATGTTTTAGAGAGGCAAAGGTAATACAGAAATCTTTTGACACCTTGTTCCTGCTAAATTTTAGTCTGCCTGTGGGCAGCACTGATGTATATTACTACCCGTTAAACTTTGCATTGGGATTTTGTATACAGTATGATATATTAAGTATAAATTTTTTGTAGGACAAAAAAAATGTCAAGTAGTTTTTAGACAAAACATCTAGCGTGTGAAAAATGTTGAAGAATAGATTACATTAAACATATACCAGCAAGTCAGTAAAAAATAGAGTCCTTATACACATTCAGCTTAATTTACTGTTCTAAAAGGATTTTTTAAATTTACCCAACACTTACTGTACCTTTGAGTTTAAAAAATGCAGCCACTCCTTTATGTAAACATTAAAATATGCCTATATTTCTTCTTGTTAAATATACAGCATTTTCCCCAATAAATTTCTTGAATTTTGTGCACAAAATAGTATTGCAGCCTGCTATTTAGCCTATGGTGCCTTAGAGTTATTACAAATATTTAACAATATGTACATAATGTAAATACTGCCAAAAGATCACTAAGGCCAAATATTTTCTCTATTCACTTTTTACTGCACTTGCTTTCTATTGCTATTTAAGCCTCTTTTATCCAGCTTTGTAACAGTTATAACATTGTAGCCAATGTAAATGTTTACTTTCAATAAATCTGAATTTGTTCAACAAGTACTGTGCATCTGGGCACTATTTTGAGAACTCTTATTATCGGTTGAACATTCTCCTACTTATTGAAGTCTAGTGCTGTTTCTGGATTTTTAATGTTCTCAGCAACACCTAAAGTTAGGCCATGTTTTTTATATTGATGAGGAAGAAAATTTCTCCACTGCAGCCTTTTTAAAAAACACCAGAAATAAACTATAAAAAAACATATTTTAATATTACCTATAACTAAATGCTGATCTGTGCTCTATTATACTAGTGGTTAATATATATATATTGGATACAAGGAAAGAATTTGCATATTTAGAATGTAAAGTATCATGTTTAATGTATAAGAAGTTCACAAGGTGCATTTTATGGTATTTTTAAGATCCAAACCCCTGCATTTTCTGGAAGAGTTTTTGTCCTAAACATACCAAGAAAGTATATAGGAACTATGTCATATATAATGTGGGATATTTTTTAAGTATAAATGGACATCTGAAACTCATAAAATTCACAGACATTTGTGGGAATGGTTATTAATTCCGTTAATGTACTATTTTTTTCAATACCTACAAAGCTGAACTTATTCAACTATATTGACTTACAGGGATTGGTATGAACTTGGATCTTTTAAACAGTTCAGATTCTGTTTTGCTAAAATAGTTATATTATTACATCATGTTACAGATTTGGGATGCACAGTATGCAAATAGTACAGTTATTTTTAATTCCAGAAGCCATAAATATTCTACTCGGACAAGACTATGTTAAAAAGTTAAGTTATTTGAATTATGGTCCTATCTAGAAGTTCCTGGTGAAACTGGATCTTACTTTGCAATGTGCAAACATGTTTTCAGAAACAGCCCCTATTGCAGGAGTTTAAAGTCTTCATAGACAGGGCAGATAAAAGTAGGAGGGTGAAATAGATGTATGGAGGGCTCTGACTTACCACAAATTACAGAACATGTCATTTACAGCAGAGTCCCTGACCCCATTAAATCAATTAGGTTTGCTATCGACTTTAAACAGAGCCAGGATTTTACCAATTCCAGTGCCAACATCACTGAATATCACTGCCTGTCAATGTGCACAAAGATTTTACAGCAGTCTCCCATTTGTGAAATCCTCAGATTTGTTTAGCAGGGTGGTAAATAAGTTGATTCTCATTACTGAAGGTTATTACTTGCTACATTTGCATATTCAACAGTTTTATTTTGGGCCATAAGAAAGACACAAAAAGATTTAATTTAGGCATTGATTGACAACAGTATTAAAGTAAAAAAACAAAAGTATTAAACCACGGTGAAGCATCTTTAAATACATATATTGCCACTTAACAGAAGAGGGAAGGCGATCATTTTTGAAGAAAAGAAGTGTCTTGTTTGTTAAAATATATTTCTACACCTGACTGGCTTTCTTTTCTTGACTTTTACTATGTGATACAAATTGCAGCAGATTTCTTTTATACAAATGAGCCAATTTAGGGCCTAATCTGCAAGGAAAGGTACTCAACGCCTCTTAAGATGTTTATCTATCAATGATATTGTTAAAGTGCCTAACATCTTGATCTCTAAGTGCTCTGAGAAGTCAGCC